CTAATATGATGCACCACTCCTTTACCATGATATACCACTCCTCTACCATGATGCACCACTCCTTTACCATGATGCACCACTCCTTTACCATGATATACCACTACTCTTATATGATGCACCACTCCTTTACCATGATATACCACTCCTATAATATGATGCACCACTCCTTTACCATGATGCACCTCTCCTCTACCATGATACACCACTCCTCTGCCATGATGCACCACTCCTTTACCATGATATACCACTCCTCTAATATGATGCACCACTCCTTTACCATGATGCACCACTCCTCTACCATGATACACCACTCCTCTACCATGATGCACCACTCCTTTACCATGATACACCACTCCTTTACCATGATATACCACTCCTCTACCATGATGCACCACTCCTTTACCATGATATACCACTCCTCTAATATGATGCACCACTCCTTTACCGTAATACACTCCTCTAATATGATGCACCATTCCTTTACCATGATGCACCACTCCTCTACCATGATACACCACTCCTTTACCATGATGCACCACTCCTTTACCATGATATACCACTCCTTTAATATGATGCACCACTCCTTTACCATGATACACCACTCCTCTACCATGATGCACCATTCCTTTATCATGATACACCACTCCTCTACCATGATGCACCACTCCTTTACCATGATATACCACTCCTCTAATATGATGCACCACTCCTTTACCATGATATACCACTCCTCTAATATGATGCACCACTCCTTTACCATGATTCACCACTCCTCTACCATGATACACCATTCCTTTACTATGATGCACCACTCTTTTCCATGATATACCACTCCTATAATATGATGCACCACTCCTTTACCATGATGCACCTCTCCTCTACCATGATACACCACTCCTTTACCGTAATACACTCCTCTGCACCACTCCTTTACCATGATGCACCATTCCTTTACCATGATATACCACTCCTCTAATATGATGCACCACTCCTTTACCATGATGCACCACTCCTTTACCATGATGCACCATTCCTTTATCATGATATACCACTCCTCTAATATGATGCACCACTCCTTTACCATGATGCACCACTCCTCTACCATGATACACCACTCCTTTACCATGATGCACCACTCCTTTACCATGATGCCCACTCCTTTATATGATGCACTCCGTAATACCATGATGCACCTTTACCATAGATGCACCACTCCTTTACCATGATACCACTCCTCTAACCACTCCTTTAATATATTCCTCACCATGTGTGGCCATCCTTTACCATGCACCATGCAACCATCCTATTGATACACCACTTCGAGTATATATATAACAAATTGTTACTTTTACTGAAGACACTATTAAATATTCTGTTTATAACATTCTCATCGCAAAAATAAACCAAAACAATGGCAAACTTACGATAACTATAAAATGGGTAAGTTGACCATGCTTTTTCCAGACACTACTCATTCATTATACAACGATGTTGTGCGCGGCAAAAAATAGTCCATTTTATGCAAAATCAGTAAAAATGTACAGACTCATAAATAAATCATAATGAATGTTTATTTGTGTTTGTACATGGATTTTGTAATTTATTGATGTCACTTATACACAATAAAATGGTTTAAACGTTAACTGAAATAATAAAAACAATGTTTGATATATTCTTCCGCGCATGAAAAAGTATGGCGCCATCCTAAAACTGTAATAAACACTACTCCTACTGTGATGCACTTCCCCTCTACCGTGATACACTTTCCTCTCCAACATGATACAACTCGCCTCTACTGTGATGAACATTACTGTACCATGATACATCTCTCCTCTACCGTGATGAACATTACACTACCATGATACATCTCTCCTCTACCGTGATGAACATTACTGTACCATGATACATCTCTCCTCTACCGTGATGAACATTACACTACCATGATACATCTCTCCTCTACCGTGATGAACATTACTGTACCATGATACACTTTCTTCTTAAACGTGATACACCTCTCCTCCACCATCACACACTTTCCTCTTTCGTGATTCACGTTCCTTTCTACCATGATACATCTCTCCTCTACCGTGATGAACATTACACTACCATGATAATCTCTCCTCTACCGTGATGAACATTACTGTACCATGATACATCTCTCCTCTACCGTGATGAACATTACACTACCATGATATCTCTCCTCTACCGTGATGAACATTACTGTACCATGATACATCTCTCCTCTACCGTGATGAACATTACTGTACCATGATACATCTCTCCTCTACCGTGATGAACATTACACTACCATGATACATCTCTCCTCTACCGTGATGAACTTTAATGTACCATGATACGTCTCTCCTCTACCGTGATGAACATTACTCTACCATGATACATCTGTCCTCTACCGTGATGAACTTTAATGTACCATGATACATCTCTCCTCTACCGTGATGAACATTACTGTACCATGATACATCTCTCCTCTACCGTGATGAACATTACACTACCATGATACATCTCTCCTCTACCGTGTTGAACTTTAATGTACCATGATACGTCTCTCCTCTACCGTGATGAACATTACACTACCATGATACATCTCTCCTCTACCGTGATGAACTTTAATGTACCATGATACGTCTCTCCTCTACCGTGATGAACATTACACTACCATGATACATCTCTCCTCTACCGTGATGAACATTACTCTACCATGATACATCCCTCCTCTACCGTGATGAACTTTAATGTACCATGATACGTCTCTCCTCTACCGTGATGAACATTACTCTACCATGATACATCTCTCCTCTACCGTGATGAACTTTAATGTACCATGATACATCTCTCCTCTACCGTGATGAACATTACTGTACCATGATACATCTCTCCTCTACCGTGATGAACTTTAATGTACCATGATACGTCTCTCCTCTACCGTGATGAACATTACTCTACCATGATACATCTCTCCTCTACCGTGATGAACTTTAATGTACCATGATACATCTCTCCTCTACCGTGATGAACATTACTGTACCATGATACATCTCTCCTCTACCGTGATGAACTTTACTCTACCATGATACATCTCTCCTCTACCGTGATGAACATTACACTACCATGATACATCTCTCCTCTACCGTGATGAACATTACTCTACCATGATACGTCTCTCCTCTACCGTGATGAACATTACACTACCATGATACATCTCTCCTCTACCGTGATGAACATTACTCTACCATGATACGTCTCTCCTCTACCGTGATGAACATTACACTACCATGATACATCTCTCCTCTACCGTGATGAACATTACTCTACCATGATACGTCTCTCCTCTACCGTGATGAACATTACTCTACCATGATACATCTCTCCTCTACCGTGATGAACATTACTGTACCATGATACATCTCTCCTCTACCGTGATGAACATTACTGTACCATGATACATCTCTCCTCTACCGTGATGAACATTACACTACCATGATACATCTCTCCTCTACCGTGATGAACTTTAATGTACCATGATACGTCTCTCCTCTACCGTGATGAACATTACTCTACCATGATACATCTCTCCTCTACCGTGATGAACTTTAATGTACCATGATACATCTCTCCTCTACCGTGATGAACATTACACTACCATGATACATCTCTCCTCTACCGTGATGAACATTACACTACCATGATACATCTCTCCTCTACCGTGATGAACATTACTGTACCATGATACATCTCTCCTCTACCGTGATGAACATTACACTACCATGATACATCTCTCCTCTACCGTGTTGAACTTTAATGTACCATGATACGTCTCTCCTCTACCGTGATGAACATTACACTACCATGATACATCTCTCCTCTACCGTGATGAACTTTAATGTACCATGATACGTCTCTCCTCTACCGTGATGAACTTTAATGTACCATGATACATCTCTCCTCTACCGTGATGAACATTACACTACCATGATACATCCCTCCTCTACCGTGATGAACTTTAATGTACCATGATACGTCTCTCCTCTACCGTGATGAACATTACTCTACCATGATACATCTCTCCTCTACCGTGATGAACTTTAATGTACCATGATACATCTCTCCTCTACCGTGATGAACATTACTGTACCATGATACATCTCTCCTCTACCGTGATGAACTTTAATGTACCATGATACGTCTCTCCTCTACCGTGATGAACATTACTCTACCATGATACATCTCTCCTCTACCGTGATGAACTTTAATGTACCATGATACATCTCTCCTCTACCGTGATGAACATTACTGTACCATGATACATCTCTCCTCTACCGTGATGAACTTTACTCTACCATGATACATCTCTCCTCTACCGTGATGAACATTACACTACCATGATACATCTCTCCTCTACCGTGATGAACATTACTCTACCATGATACATCTCTCCTCTACCGTGATGAACATTACACTACCATGATACATCTCTCCTCTACCGTGATGAACATTACTCTACCATGATACATCTCTCCTCTACCGTGATGAACATTACTCTACCATGATACGTCTCTCCTCTACCGTGATGAACATTACACTACCATGATACATCTCTCCTCTACCGTGATGAACATTACTCTACCATGATATATCTCGTACATTTTGTAATTCACCTCTTCTCTAAAGCTGTTTGATTAATTCGAGATTTCAAAGCAAATTGGTTAAATCAATGTTTATTTGTCTCACGAACTCGGCATCGGTGAAAATAAAATTCTACAGAAGCTTAAATAAATATTTGTCATATTTCAACTTAGAATTATATTTTATTTTGTTTTTCCATCACAATTGTTTTCTTTTCATGAATGAAATCAATGCTGATGTCTTTTTCCAGAGTGTGAAAAATGTAGACGCACAATCTTTTACATGGAAAGAAATTACCCTGTTCCATGGCACAATGAACATCTCTATACGGGGGCTACTGTATATCACTTATAGAAATGGACTGGTTCAATTTCACGACGGTTGCCACACAACCAACAACAGGTAACTCGTAAAAAATAGAATCTTATGTAATAGACTAAAAAGTGATTAGAAAACACTTTTTTTACGTAATTAATTTCTCATTTTTTGTTTTGTTTTTCCTTCCTGTGTTAGTTTTTAATTTAAATCAACTTTGTTGCGAACAAAATACAACAGGATTGGACAAAAGTTATAACAACTTACTCACGCCCTTTCCATAACAAATTAAAATATACAAATTAAGAAAGGCACGCAATAGCCTGAGAACTTTTCATATTTTTTAGTGAAAGATAGGCTTAGAAAATTATATTTACTTTTCTATGCCCGTACTTAAAAAATGATTTAATATTTTTAGGGATAGTAAGATGAGGTAGAAGAGTTTTGAATTGTTTGATATAATCGGATGACTTTATCAGACAATTCCTGTGTTATCAATTTTAAATTTCTGTTTAATGCACAACGATGTTGGAGCAGACTTTTCAAAACTTTTACGGATTCAGATTTTTTTCTTTTGGAATCAAAAATGAAAGTTACAGATGAGGATAGGATATTTTTTTAAGAATTTGGAACTACCGTTTTTCTTCTATAAGTCATAAAAAATATAAACAAATTGAGCAGTGACCTTAGTAGATGTCAGAAGACCAACAGATATTTCAACCTCAGGTTAAGAGATGTGTGGTGTGGGATCATTGCCTGGGGCAGTTTGTATTTCTCAAGAAACGGTAAACATCCCAGTCGCTCAGTTGCTTAAGTTACCCTGAGACGGGTCTTGGAGTTTGGAACTATATTTCCGCGCGGACCAATAATTTTAACATCCGACAAGATTCAGCGTAAAGTCAACGTTAAGTTACAATAATTGAACAAAGAAGCTGTTGCAAGTTTTGTTTGTCCGCTTTTTCAATATTGCAAGATAAATAGAATACATGTTAATTTCTCGAAATGTAAGCTGCAATATTGCTTTCGGACAGAAAGGAAAAAAAATGTGGCTGGCCTCATTTGTCGTTCTATTTAAAGACACTCACAATGTATTATATATGTACTTGTACAGGGTTGTATCATATTTGAATACATATGAATGAGTTGTATGGGATTGAAAGATTGTATTATAAAATTTGTAAGCTACACAGCAAAATTGGCACTTTATATAGAAACGATCCTGTTGTAAAATAGATGATATCAAACTCATTAATTCCACATCAGTTTGTGTCGACTACTTCCGTCAACATGTGGAGTAACAAATCACTAGCTTAGCTTCCTATCCCACATCAACCATGCTTACTTGTAAAAGGCAGGACATTACATTGATTAATGGCATTTGATGCCAATTTCTTCAACTTTTGTGAACGTAGCATTTAAACAAACTCGTAATTCTATATTTATTTCCTTTCCTTTGTGACGTCAGAGTGGGCAGCCTGGTCAGAGTATGAGAGTGAATACTACCGGGCTACCAAGGCCGGAGGCGTCGTTGGACCAATTGTTGGATCCGTTGTAGTCATTGCCTTCATCATATCCCTCTTTTGTTTCACATCGCACATGCGCCGTAGGAGACAGGAGTTGGCGAGCGCCTCGCGGCGGGAAAACCGAAGACAAGGTATGATTATGATCAGTGTATGCATTTGTGTATCAGAATGACGCTTTACGGAATTTATGCATATATGTTTACAGAGACAAACAAATGCTTACACAAAATAACCTTTTCTGAACCTTTTAAAGGAAATTATGCTTAACTCTCCGTCCATGGCATATTCTGTAAGTGGAAAAAATATGAAAAGTATTCGAGGGCTGGACCTATGGACTTCGAAAGTATGACTGCTAAAGCTAGATAACTAACCTGTGTCACTTATACTTGCCTTCTGTTTTGCAGGAAGAACAGCTTTTGTGATTGGCCATTCTCACAATCCAGACTGGGTGGGCGAAGGAGTTAGCGGAAATGACGTCAGCAGAATGGTACATGATTTACCTCCACCTTATTCACCTCCTTACGAATCTGAGTTAAAAGATGGAGACTTGCCGCCTTCTTATGCTGACGCAGTTGATATGTTTGCGTATAACTCTGTGTACGATGACGTCACTCAGCAATACGATGAAAATGACGTCACTCAGCCAGACGATGAAAATGACGTCATTCAGTACGATTATGACACCGACAATATGACTGACTACAGTGTTGATGAAAGCGTGAATTATGACGTTGCATACGATGCTGACGGTGGTAATGAAACAGAGAATGATGATGAGGATGATCATCATGACGTCACTGCTAATCCAGATGATCTTGCTAGCCCGTAACCAAGTGGTGAAAATGTGAATGGAATTCATGACATAGATCTGATTGATGATCTTATTGCAACGAACTTCATGATAGAATAGTGAATTAATCCACTGAAACATTGTACTACGAAGCCATGGCATTTTTTATGGATGAAATCTCAAGTCAAATGACGTCACATATAATAGTATTCACCTTCGGGACATTTGGACGCAAATCGCCAGTACCAACAGGCTTTACATGCGTTAAGTATCTTTTTAATGTGTATTTTCCCTGCGTTTGATTATGACCTGAGAAATTGATGAAGGAAAAATCACCAACAATGTTTATAAGGAGAAGTTGGTTAAAGAAATGAAATTATGCAAATGGACATGCATAGTATGAAGTGTAATGCAGCGAATTCAAATAAGGTCCCGAGGTAGAATGAAGAAGTTGTAGTCCCAGATATATATATTAAACAGAGATTTGATTTTATTATTGAAACTAAATTATGTATTTCGTCAAGCAACATTTTACATTTATTAAAATGATGTGTTTTAATTGTTTTACGATAAGAAGAAACTTTAAAAAAGAATTCGTTAAAAAAACAAAACGCTTCTTCTATATTAGTTTAATCTCACTGAAATTTCAATTAAAAACTTTAAATGAATGCTTTTTCAGTTAGAAATAAGATATCCCACATCCGGTAATTGTGTTGTATTTCCGGATGTTCGTGATGCATTTCCGGTGCGCTAAATTTGCTTACTAGAAACAACATTTTATTTTTTTTCTCCGAAATCATTGTTCCATAACAATAACTTAGACAGAGCAATGTTGTTGTTTATATTTTTACACAGAGTTTTTCAGACGTGTATTCAAAGTTTTCATTTATATATTTAAACATGAAAGACAAATTTATAATATGTAGTAATCGTGTATCACAACCTCCACTCTTTGTAATTGGAAAGTTAAGTTTTTGTAGGTAGTCGAGTTATGTCCCCATTAATTGATTTCGGTGCTACATTGATGCATGGGAAAATCTTTAATAGCAAGTCGATATTATTTGGAGCTTTCAGTGTCTCTAACGCCTATTGGATGCTAAGTCCTTGAGTCTATGAAATGTACGTGTTCATTTTCCTGAATTCTGCGATATGAAATAGTCGATGATGTCATTGGCATAAAATGTGTGTTTGTGGAATAATTTCAATGCGTTTGTGAAAACAAATGGAATAAATTAAGAGAGTTATAACTTCATATTTCGCAATAGTAATATCATGGGGAAATTTCCGGTAATTTTCGGAAATCTGTTCATTTCCGAAGATTGCCTGAAATTCTCCTTGCTGTTACCATTGCACATTTTCATGCTCCACTTCCCTCCCCTGGTGTGAATTTGTGATTCTAATACTTAAGTTTTATTTTTCCCGTGTGATCAATTTTTGCTTGATTTGGCGATCGAAACACATTTGCAAAAACTGATCACAGCGAATTAAGATGGAGTAAATAACAAATATTTTAGGATCGTAAATTTGTTTCGCTACAAATATGTTGTAATGCAGAAGATTAGCAAACAATCTGCAGGCGAGAGAAAGGTAGTTCAAAACGTATGTCAGGAGTAGATAATAGTTTCAGATATTTTTCAAATACAGTCTAATTTTTCTTATTGGCTAGATACCTGAATAGTACGTTAATGTGTCAAAAAGTTATGTGATTGTTAGTTACAAATACGAGATAATTTTTACACTATATAAAAATAAATCAGAACACCATCATTTTATAATTTTTAATAAAAAATTCTGACATGTGTATATCTTACAGAAGTTTTAGGTTTTTCATTTTCGTGCCTTAAGAATAACGAACTGCTTGGTTTGATTTTATTCAAAGTCCAATGATATTTGTATCCACCGAACATTGTTTTTGTAAACAGATTTTATTTAGCTAGTATTTGCCAGCTGTGATATTGATACGATGTCACAAAGCAGTATTATAAATCTGTAGACATTTCGCTGTATACAGAGATGTGAATAAACTCCTTTTAAAACAAATATAGGACTCTTTCAATTGTTCCCAACAACAAAGAATTTTTTGGTGAAAAACACATTCGCGATATCAACTAAATGCATTTCTGATTTTTTGATTAAAACACTAAATATACCATAATACGTACACATAAATTATTTACATGTAATTTTACTCAAATCATATATAGAAGAAAATTAAAATTTCACTAAATTATCGTTTATACCAATACTTTAACATGTCAGAAGAAAAAAAAATCTTCCATAACTTAGTCCTCTGTAATTTAAAAAAAAACCAAATGAATAAATAAATAAATACGGTCCACAGGATTGAGCCCAGCTACTTTCAATAGTTAGGTCGTGACGAAGGGAGATAACTCTTGTTGCCTGCTAGGAATTTGGAAAGCTATGTCGGATTAAAACTACTTTCATTGACTTAAATTGGCCTTCATCAATGTACATGCATGAACCAGCATTTAAACAGATGTATGTTCTGTGGATTGTGTAGAGAAAAATGCATAATTCAAAGAAAACATAGACGTTCTATAATATATTTACTTCAACGGCAGGCACTTCACTTCAACATGGCAACACAAAACTTCGGTTAAATACTTTGATAAATGGGAAAATATCAATGTTGTTACAAAATTAATGCACGTTTTAAAGAAGTGAAATATCTGAAAAAAAAATATTAAATTAACAAATCATGCATTAATGGTCACAAAGCATTATCTTCGAATCATATCCTTTGTACTGTAAAAAAAATGGGTTCAGACACCTTGGAAAAGCACAGACGACGCAGACGCAATCAGTAAAATTGATATAGTAAACAACCGATACTAGCTATCACTCCGAACTTTGGTGTGCATTGATTTTCAGTATAAATACACCAAGTTGTAACAATAACACCCAAACTATACATTCAAATCACAACAAACGGTCAGGAAAGTAAGTGTCTGTCCAATCACATTCGTTTTCTATCAAACAACCCGTATTTATAAGCTTAGTAAGAAAAAAATGTTAAGATGATGGACTTATTACCGGGCAATGAAATATAGGCCTGAGGGAGAAAATTAGGGAATGGGATTGTTAAAGTGCAATCGAATATATGTCCGAAGGGGCAAATAAGTGGATGTTTTTGTTAAAGGGCCATAGTATATAGGCCTGAGGGAGAAAATAAGGGAATGGGCTTGCTAAAGGGCGATGGAAAATATGCACAAATGGGCAAATAAGGGGATGAACTTGTTAAAGGGCAATGGAATACATGCCCGAAGGGGCAAATAAGGGAATGGACTTGTTAAAGGGTAACGGAATATTTGCCCGAAGGGGCTAATAAGGGAATGTATTTGTTAAAAGGCAATATAATATAGGTCTGAGGGTAAAAATAAAGGAAGCGGCTAATTACACGACAATGGAATATATGGATATGTTTGTTTTAACAAACGAGTTTATTGTCTGACTTTTTTTATACTACGATTCTTACATGTCAGAGTTACTTCCCTTTCACTTCGCGATAAGCTTGACAGCCAACGGAGCCGAAAATTACACGATAGGGAGACGTTTTTATCTGACATAAAGTTTCTATCAAGAGTGAAACGCTACATTATTTGATCAGGAATGACCGTGTATAATTATAACGACAAGAAAATTACAGTTATGTAATATTGGGATGACATTGTTAACAACTTCATTATATCTTAACAAGGCATGTACAACTGAGAGTCTATAATTAGACCAGCACGTGATCAGCCATACGGATATGTAAAGTCGGCCCTTTGACTGTGAATTTTCCATCAATAAATAACGATCATTTTCATCTTGTAATTGATATAGAGAAATAATGAATGAATTCCATTTAAGATGTTATGTTATGAATTAGCCCACAGTTTTTTTATCCTCTGTTGTAGATATTTCTAGCATGAAAAGAAACAATAACACCGACCTTGACCTAACTCTATCTAAAAAAATATATTGGTAACCCAGTTTTTCGACGCTCGAAAAATACCGATATTATTTTGTGATGAATTTCTACATACGTTTTGTGTATTATAATTATATAATTATAATTTTCCTATTTCTGCGTTTAATTGTCCTTTTGTTTTGCTTTTTTGGTTTTTTCTTTTTTCTTGAATGCTGACATGTTATATCTAGCGTTAAAACTGCTCTTTAAATCTTATTAATAAATGTATCTTCGTCTTAAACAAAGCTCCGGTTCCATTCCGCACTTGAACATTCACACCTATCTATTGTCAACTATCCGTCTATCTGAGTTTTTTTTTAACACTCCTGAATTTCGCCATATCACATTTGCTAACGTAAATTGTCACACGTGTTCCTCAAATGTTGTGAAATAAAGTTTGACAATTTGCAGAGTTAGAATATATAAAGAATACTGTTAAGAATACGATTATCTCTGCTGAATAAATTTACGATTTTGTATTACACAAGATTGTCGGTCTCTAATTTCAGGGATGGTCTTACAAACGTCATTAAAACAAATTATCCACAGATTACGTCACACAATACATGCCTGGTGTAGATTAGCAGCTGTGTAGTGTCAGTTGTCACGTGCATTGACCGGAAATTCATTGTAGGAGAACTATTCAGCCTGACACGCGACGTGCCCTTTTGGGGACGTAAATTCCAGCACGTTTACAACTCGATCTGAAGCCATCTATTGCACCATACACATCTCCGCGCACTCTGAAGATCGATCACGTCTCATACCTATCATTCATGTGTAAAGAGTAAACATGTGTTTTCTAAATCAAAGTAACTAAATACATAATGGAAGAAATATATATTGAAATATGGTAATTCAAATCGAAGTCTCCGTCTATTAAACTATATGTATACATACACACACTCATATAGATATATAACTAAAAAAAGATAAAAGCTTGGTGTATCGTATATATAGAAAATCAAAACATTAACATGGCAAGTAAAATCGTATGAAATGGCTAACGTTTTCCGGCCTTGTGGAAACGCCTGAAGACGGCCACCAGGCCGGAAAACGTTAGCGA